AAAATCACCATCACAACGGAATGCAGATTTTAACGCAGTTACAATCAGTTTATCTTTGTAATTTACCCGTGAAGATGATTATGGAAAAGAGTGAAAGTACTTGGGTTAACAAAAACTACGCCGCCTTCCTTGGGGAATTTCAAGAGGTTGATTAGAAAAATGGAAAGGATCTCTATAGTAGGACAAATATGTCTAAGTTATTCAATGTTGATATAATGATATGCTGCACACATATATATATATATATATATATATATATATATATATATAATATAATCAAAAGGCTTAAACACTAATATTCCATGGAATGTTAGTTTTTAAACCTTTTTATTATATCCTTACTCTCTCCTGGACATTGAGTTCTACCTGGATTCTATCCTCTTGGTATTATTTTTATACAAATATATATGTATGTGTGTATATATATATATATATATATATATATATATATGATTGCATATGTATGCTTATATTTTCCAGTAATATTATATATATATATATATATATGTGTGTGTGTGTGTGTGCGTGAGCGTGTTTGTATCTGAACTGAAAACCTTCTCTTCTTTTACAGTTTGGTTCATCCTGTACAAGGCCCGGGGGGGATCCTGAGGTAGAGGGATAAGTTAAGGGGTAGTTTATAGGGATAGGAGGGGAAGAAAACGGTGGCTCTAGACTTGAACAGGTTAAGATTATAATCAGGGAAATATTAGGGCAGTGGCTCACAGGAAAATGTGTTTGATTGGAACTTCTCGCCGATAAAATTCGGACGCAACGTAGGTGGTATACTGCTATGTGAAATTTAGACCTGGCAGAACAGCGAGATGCAGTTCATTCCAGCAGCAGTTTCCATATAGTACCGACAGAGCAGTGAGAGTCTTGCCGCATCCCGACTGTCTTCGAGAGGTTGGAGTGTGGACATTCTTCTCCAACAAGGACTCGGAGACGCTTTTGAAATCTTAATATCTGATCTAGGAGAGTTAGCGATTTAAGAGGTCGTATTTTGTTGTAATGATTGAGCTTCCCGTGATTCTGGTTATAATATCAGTTTCAGAGAGGTACAGAGGGTCAGGTTTAGACTGAAGAAGATGGCGTTCCATTTTTGGAAAGTTGGAACGCAGACCCCTAACAGTGGTTTCAGAGGTGGTATACCTGGCGTCTACTATTTGTTTGATGCTGGGTTTGCTCGTTTTATTTGTTTTCAATTTAATTGCTTTCATGTTTATTTTGTTTGTTTTGGTGGATGACTTTTAGTGAAACAGAATCCCATTGGAGATGCATGCATAAATAACCTTGGTTGACTCGCCCGAAGATATTGCTGAAACAGAACCCATCATCATGGCATCGAGAGGATCCCAACCGCAGACTAGTGAACGGTCTAGAAACCATTCACAAAATGGCAGTACAATTGTTGAATAATTGTTCAGCACACTATTATTTTAAGGGGGAATGGTATCTCTGCTAGGGCTTCCTAAGGTTGACCTTTGTGGTCAGATAGAAGACAAAACAAGGAAGTCGCTTTTGATTGGTTGAACAAGTGTGGTAACGATAGACAGAGAAACAGTTTTAAGTGTGTAGAATCTTACACGTCAAGGAAAGTAGACTTGTTTCATTTTGTGTCTGAGAAAGTTAGGAAATCTATACGTCGATGACATCATTAAACTAGATATGTTAAAACTATCTTTGTTGATGTATTTGAACTCTGCACTGCAAAACATTTCGCCACTAGGCAGGGAGAAGGCGAGAGAAGAGAGAGATAGGCTCGAATTGGAGCAGTGACCAAGTCCTCTCCAAAGACCTCCCAATGAAATAGGCTCGATATTATATACATGCTGATAGGATCGCCTCCTTCGAAGTTACTCAGTTCGGATCCCTTACTATCAAGCAAATAACACCATTTTTATTCATATATGTTTCACTGAGTGTCACGGAAGTTTAAAATATTATAAGATATTATTTGGCGTTCCTTTTGTGAATGAATACAATATTAACAATTTTTTGGAGAATAAAAATTATTTTTCTTTTCCATATTCTGCTATTTAACCCGTAGCTGGAGGTGATGTATTCTTAATTTTTCTTAAGTATATTTGTGCTTCAGCGAATGTAACGAAAACGACAGCAATTTGAACAACGCTCACCCATTTCCCATTATGATCCGCTATCCTTTTCATCGCTTGTATATAACAATAACATTATCACAGCAGAAATGTTCAAAACGGTTAATTTGACGAAAGTGTGTGTGTGTGTGTGTGTGTGTATGTGTGTGTGTGTGTGTGTGTGTGTGTGTGTGTGTGTACGTGCGTGTGCGCGGGCGCGCGTGTGTAAAATTCAGATGTAATTGAAAATATATATGTGACGGGACGAAACACGATAAGACAAGTTTTCCTTTTGCCCAATCAGAATTTTATATATATATATATATATATATATATATATATATATATATATATATATATATATAAAACACATCCACTTATATATATATATATATATATATATATATATATATATATATTGATATATATATATATATATATATATATATATATATATATATATATATATATATATATATATATATATAGTTTTAAGGTATCCTATGTTTATGGGATAAAATGCCCAATATCAGA